CGTGGGGCGGGGGCAGGCGACAGCTGACGTGCCCCACTCGGCCCTCACGGCGTCTGCCGCACTGCATGTTTTGGCATGGCCCTGGTGACGAACCTCGCTGAAATGCGTTCGGATTCCACGGCTAAACATGGCCGAGCCAGCAGCGTTGGCCTATCCAAGGAATGCCGTTAGCAAACAGACGGGCGCAGTTAATGTCTTCAAATGGCCATAACCGAAGTCGCACTGAAATAGTACGCATTCCACTCACAGCGAACTCGTGCAGTACGCGTCACATTGATTTAGTAGCGAATTTAGCAGCACAGCGGTCTAATGCCTGCACAGGGTTACGGGCCCGTTTTCGAGTCGGCATATTCACGGCTCAGTTAATAAGTTCATCGGCACGGCATGGCATGCCTTGGAAGACTTGCGGTGCTTCATGGCAGCAGCGGATTTTTCACATGGTCGATTCAGGAATGTCGTAAAGGCAAACGACATTTCTTATTCAATGCAAGCCCAGCTTGGAACATAGCTACCAAAGCACACGACAAGCCGACTTAAACGGGGGCACGAACGCTAACTTTATAAAACATGCAGTGCTATACGCCAGCACGGCAAAGTTTTGTAGCCGGCAGTCAAACAAGCTCGTCTCGTCTGGTTTATTTCCGCCGGTACCGTCACGGCGAGCCCAACTGAGGCCAGCTGGGGCTGAAAAAGCGGCGCCCCGCAGCGACCGGACGGGGCGAGTGGTCCAAGACAGCGGCGGCGGGCCCTCTGAGGGGACGGGGACGGCGCGCACAGCTGCTCGTCGTCTGTCCCCGCCGGTCGTCGGATCCGACGGGGTAAGACGAGCGCCGGCTGTGGCCGACGGGTGGTACGGGGAACCCGATACTGTAGTAAGGGCGTCGGTACAAGTGGGAGAGACGGCAGCGTCACCGCCGCCGCGAACTATCGTCATCGCTACCGCCGTCAATGCCGCCATCGCTGCCATTGCAGTCACCACTGCCGCTGTCGCGATGACGGCAACAGCTGTCGTCGGAAGCCTCCAAGTCGCTGTTTTGCTCCCACATTTCGCAAGCCGCGCGGCCGCGGAGCGGTCCAGAGCGCTGGGTCAGTGCACCTCGCGGCCGGCGCATTCCTCGCCGGTGCCGCAACACACGCACAGAACACGCTATTTTCGACGGGCCGAGTTCACAGGGCGACCAGGACGGCGCCGGGCGAGGACTGAGGGCGTGTTGCAATGGTGGAACGACCCGTCCCAGGTGATAGGGAGGAATGTGCAATATTTGACGCTAAAATTCGCACATTGCCAGTATGTTTGGTTAGTTGATAATAGCTCGTCACGGGAAATTGGTTCTTGTGCAATACGTCAGTAATTGCGTTCGGCTTTATTTTTCTCCTCGCAAACGTGGTGATTAAACGCACGCATTCTTGGTTTAGAAAGTCTAACATACCTTTAATTAACAAGTCCAAGCCGCTTCCACTTTTTCAGTCCCTATACTTTTCTCTCCCTCTCCCTCCCTCCCCCCCCTCTCTCTCTCTCTCTCTCTCTCTCTCTCTCTCTCCTCCCTCTCCTTATCCCTCCCTCAGGTCCTCTCTCTCCGTGTCGCTCCCGCCGCGCCGGCCGCTCTGAGCTCTGCTCTGCCCCGACTCTGGTATGGCCCACTGCACGGGTCCGTGTTTGTCGGCGCCATTCCGGCCACATACCAGCTGTATCGGGCCACGAGTGCCATCATCTCACAGTCACGAGCGGCACAGACCGTATACTAGCGGGCATACCAGCAATGAACGACAATCAGCTGCTATACCAGCGACCACCAGCGGACATACCAGAGGTCACCAATGACCATATCAAAGGTCACCACTCACCAGTGTGCCATCAGCGACTATACCAGCAGTCACCAAGTGCTGGCCGAACCAGCGGGCATGCTAGTGAGGAGTGACCTCCAGCGCTTGCCAGTGCTCATACAAACAGCAAAACAAGTGCTCACGACGTTCTTGCAAGCACTGATCATTGCTTACTTGCCCTGCAACTACCAGTGCTCACGGCACCAGCCATACCAGTGCTCACGGCACCATACCATACCAGCGCTCGGCGCTCACAGCGTCTGCCGGAGCCGCATTCCGGCTGCGGCCGGTCCGCAGAGCACTGGACGCCGCCCGCCCCGTCCGACGAGCCGAGAGCCCAGCTCCACATACCAGCGGCTCGGAGCGCCAGCTGAGAGTGCCGGCCGCGCTGCGCCGAGTGACGCTCAGAGGACACTCAGCGGTCGAGCGGGAGCGCAGCCGAGACGGAGCGAATCGGAACGCCGAGCTCAGACAGTCACATTCCTGTGAGCTGAACCCTGAGACCACCGAGCGGCGCGGCCGCGAGCCGTGACGACTCTCTCAGACAGAGACTTCTCTGCGCGCTATCGCTGAATTTCAGAATCGAGAGTTCCTCGCTCCAATCTGGAGAGGTACTGAAGACAGGCGCGCAGAGAATGTCGCGCAGTGCTGCGGATCTGCTGGCTGCGGAGAGGGCGTGGGCTGGGTCCGCGATGCCTTTCAATTTGCGCTCAGTATATGACGTAGTTCCTCAATACGCAGTTGGCATGCCTTGGTGGTAAGCTTCGGAAAGACATCGAAGGCTGTCGGTATAACTGAGGTCTGACATGGCCGCAAATGTGATCAAAATATCTGTATTGTTTCAAACAATTCCAAGCAAAACAAAAGACAACCGCGTATCGCCTTGATAAACCTTTTACAAAAGGTAGACAAAGCTTGTTCTCGGGAAAGCGTTGCTCGACAAAGCCCCGTCTCGGTGCCGCCTCTGAGCGGCTCGGAATGCCGGAGGTCGGTGAGGTCAGAGCGCCGGCGCGCCGGAGCTCTCCTCCGAGTCGTGCTGAGCTCCGGTCGCGCCGGGCCGGCCGCAGAGAGCGGCGAGCGCCCAGTCGCGGCGCCGCCCACCCGTATTACCATAACACGGCTGGAATCCGGAGCTGGCTTTCTCACGGCGCTCGGCCGGCTCACAGCGAGCTCGACTGTATGGAAGCAGGGGAGAACAGGTCGAGGGGTGACAGGGGCTGCCGAGCATACCACAGGGGCTGACGCATAGGACAGGGCGGGGCCGGCGGCACGCTGCCGGAGGGGACAGCGCGGGGACACGGCACGCCGCCGGAGGGAACAGCACGGGGACACGGCACGCCGCCCGAGGGGACGCCACGCGACACGTGCCTCCGCGGCGGCCCGGCGGCGGCACATACCAGCGAGCGGCGTCCGTCCCGACCGGACGGCGGTCCGGGGACGGCGACAGAATAGGATCGGCACGCGGCCCGGTCCCCGCGCGCCCCGGACACAGCACCAGGTATGTGAGTAATGCGGGAGCAGAGCGCCGCGATGAAACCGGAGGAGAGCGATATTCAGACGAGGTCTTATCGATGAGCGTCAGCACAACGGAGCGATGTGGTAAAAAAAAAAACGGCACCGAACTATCCACATAGACGTCTGCATCTCGCCGTGGAGCATATGGGGCTCGTCTAAGAGCTTCCGAAGAATAGCCAAGAAGAGGGCAAAAAATACCGGACCATAATGAACAAGACCCTGGAAATAAATGCTCGGGCGTCATGTTTCAGGGCGGTGATTGCTTCGACCCAGAGCGGCCGGCCGGCCGAGACAGCCTGATGAATGAGGCAGTCGTACTCACAGAGGAGGCTGACGTCGGCCGTAACATACCGCGCCTAAACGCCCCGACCGGCGGCTGTTTATTGTTGCTGGACATGAACAACATTCCCCCGAGCAAACAGTGCCCGTGCGAGGGCTGCGGCGCACCCCGGGCTCACGGCCACCTCTCACATTCCGGCCGGCCGTTACCACCGCCGGAAGTACAGCACGGCACGGTATAGTGCCGTACAGCACGGTACGACACCGCACGGCACTTCACGGCCGGTCGGCGGACCGAGCCGCCGGAAGCGGCGCCCAGGTATGCCGCACTAAGGCGTACGCGGCGCGCCGGAAACCCATTCAGCATCGGTCACTCCCACGGCCGGCGGCGGCAGCAGCGGCGCGACCTCCAGTGCGACCGACGGAGGTCGGCCCGGCCACCGGAGCGCCGGCGCGCGGCTGCACGGCGCCCATTTTCACGCGCTGTTTGGCGCGCCGCAGCTGGCACTAAATTCCCGACAAATTGCCGCTGTCGCGCCGCGCCGTTCCCGCGCCGTTCGGGTCGGACGGTCGGGCGCCTTGGGTTGAGGTGCGTAGGTCCGCCCCGAGCGGCGCCAGGCTCGGCGCCGGCTTCGGAACCCGATCCGGCGACCTGACGCCCCACAGGGCCGTGGGAACTGCGCGAGACGAGAGCGAGCGCTTACAGGATACCCCGGCCGACGCACGGAGTGCGCCGGTCTCCCTCCGCCCTCAGACCCGGCCGGAGAGGAGGGCTGCTTTGTCGCGCGGAGCAGCCGGGCGCACAAGAAGGGGCCGAGGTCACCGATCCGGCGTGTTGCCGGGCGGCGTGTGAACTTGTGGAGGTTCTGGTGGGAACTTTGGGCTCTGTAAGGACTGGCAGTGCTAGGGAGATGAAGACTGAAGAACAGGACTAGACGGGAGCGAGACGATTCCACACCAAACACCGCCGCGAAACGAATAGCCGCACGAAACTTGCCCATGATTGTGAAACGAGTCCAACGAATGGTTGGGAGTTTTTAGTACGCATTCGGTGAAACCAGGAAATACGAATCAAGTGAACAACACACGCCGTGCCAAAGTTGGAGCTGCGCAGATCGCACTTGCCAAGCCGCATTCCCGCCCGACTGTAATGTGTAATGGCTACATTCCGGCGTACCCTTCAGGTCGATCGTCCAGTCAGATGGAACCCACCGAAACGTTTATCGGAACCGGTATTTATCACTTGGTGGAATCCGCCGTCCACATTCCGCTGACGCCGCGCAGCGCGGTCGGCCCGCGCTCCGGAAGACGGTCTCAGACAGGGAGCGGACAGCGGGGAAGGTGTAATATAACACAGGTCTGGTGACCCGGCTGGTACTCACCGATCTCCTGTCCCTGCACCATGGAGGCCGCTCGGGACAGAACGTCCAGCGGAGACTCGCCCGCTGCCTCCATGCCCTCCCTGCAACAGCAAAACATACAGTCACGTGATCGGAAACACCAGTCAGCAGTAGTGCACACGTGACCGGTGTCGTCGGCAGGCTGAGCTGAAATACACGGCAGCCCGGGCCGCTGACGTCATCAGCTCACCCCGGAGCGCTGCTGTGGGTGGAGTGATCAATACATCAGTCAGCATTAGATCCGATCAAGGCGGGCCGGCCGGCAGTCCGACTCGGCCTCCGGTCATTACAGTTCGACGCCGCGATACTCTGCAACCGTGGATTGAAAGTCGCCGATTATCCCTCCGTGCAGCGCGCCCATCGGCCGACAATTAATCGCAATCAGGCGCTGACCGCGGCCGGACGGTCGTTCCGTCAAGGCCGGACACCGTGTGACGCTCCCGCTCCCCGCGGGACCGGGCCGGACGCGACAGGTGCATGTGTGCGTGTTCCACGCGGCCCGGCAGCCGGCTGCACCAGCTGTCAGGCGCACCTGAGGGGCACACTCCTGAGAACTGCTGACGAGCGCGTCCCACAGGCGCGGGTCGGTGTCCGAGGGACACACGACATCCGGAGAATTGATACGCTGAGAACGGGCCGATAGAATCACTGGCGTGGTTCGATGTCCTCCGCAGGGCTGGAGGAGGAGAGCGGCGTTCCCACGTCAGACGGTGGTGTTATCGTCACGGGGAATGTTACAGTCGTCACCAAAGCCACCATCACCATCAGGCCTTACCGCAAACTTTCGCGCTGAGTATTACGCCGCTGAATTTCATTTACCCTTTACAATTTAGTAGGTAACGTCCGTCACAAATGCTGTCACAGTTGCCGTCAGCGTCTGTCACGGGTCACCTGCAGTCACCGTCACCGCTGTCATGACACCCCCCCCCCCCCGGGTCGCGGCAGTCTGTAAACTTCCGGCCGTCGGTGTCGGCTCTGGGCCGGCACCGTCGCGTGCCTCAGGCGATAACGCAGACACGAGCCGTCTGAGCACACAACAGCTCCGAAATAAGCGGCCTGGATGGCGGATAAGTGGCATAAAGCCGACAACCGTCGCTTGCTCCACTTTCAATCAACTCGTAAGGTGCATTTCACATGCGGTGTCAGGACCACAAATCACTTGGCGCTGTCGTCTTTGCCATACAGTACGGGCATATTTTGAACTCAGGCGACGATTTCAGGTCATCGAAAAACACGGACTGATTTTCCGTCTTCCGTCATGCTGCACTGTGTGCCGAGTGTCGCACTCCACTGCAGGTATATGCGCCGCGATGCGTGGAACCGGACCGTGCCACGATGCGATCTGTACCGTCACGGGTAGCGAGCTGCGCGCATCACGCTCCTTCACATCCAGGGCGGTCGTCTGCACGTCTCTGCCCCGGTTAGTGGCACTGTGACGCTCAGGTCACGGGGCTCACTAGATCATCGAGTACCGCTCCGGCCGATCCCAGTGCACTGAACGTCATTCGTTAACCCCTGCCAATGGCGCAGCTCGCTGCAGCACAGTAGCCCGCCCGATGGTCGGCCGGTGGGGTCGTGTTTTGTACGGCGCTGTGACGTGATCACGGCGAGCGGCTCAGCCCCACTCGGAGGTGGCGAGTCGTGTCTCTGGTCAGAGCGGGGACAGACAGCCCCGAGCCCGGCGAACCCCAGCCGAGCGGCATTCCTCACTACCGGCGTCACTATGGCCAACGGACGGCGACGGAGCTAAACAGGAGCTAACGGTGCTAGAAAGGAGCCCAAGGAGTTAGCTCGGTCAACATTGGCGCTCAAACTGAGCAGAGGTCGTCTCAACAAATCTGGTTTGCGAGTAATATTGTGCCGCGCTTCCCATCTACTCAACTTTTTCTCGCGAAGAGTTCGCGGAATGATTGGACAAACCGTTACTGATGCCAGTGGAGCGACTTAGTGATCATGTAATGTGAGAAAGCAAACTGGAAGTGTTACAAACATGAGAAGGTCAGCCCAAACAACAGCTCTATGTAGTTAGAATTCTATACAAATTCAGCATTATTACATTTTCCCAAAAATTGACCGCCCAAATGACGTATTCAAAGCTGGAAAATTGGCTGATTTACATGTGAATAGTCCCGCTCATCTACCAAGCATATGCGGCGCAGCGATCGGGGCCGCCGAGCGCCACACTCATCCCCGATTCCCAGCGTGGGTCGGCGCGCTCAGTGGAGCTCGGCACGCGGCGACATTCCAGTCGTCACTCTGAGAGCGCGCGGCGGCGGCGGCGGCGGCGGCGGCGGCGGCGGCGGCGGCACCGTGACCGTGCCGTGAGCGGGCGGCGTTCGGGACGCACCGTCTGCGGCGCAGAGGGCGGCGCTCCCGTCCGGCGCCGGCAGCCGGAATTTACGGCTATTTTCGACACATTCCAGCTGAGCGCGGCGGAGTCGTTACGGCTGAAGCGGCCGCCGCCAGCTGGCTGGTCGGACTGACGGCGCGCGCTGCGACCGAGCGACCGCGCTTCTGCTGGAAGGGTCGCTGCGGCGCGAGGGATGGGCATGGAGATGGTATGACGGTATGGAGGAATGGCCGAAAACTGGGGATCGACGAACGCGTTTGTTAGGATGAAACGACGTGAGGCAAATGCTATCAAACTGAAAGAGAGCGCATCGGAAGAAAGAAAATACAAGGCAGGTAACATAGAAGACCGTAATGTTTAGAGACCATAATGTAATGTAGAAGACCGTAATGTTTAACCGCGACCCGACCACGACGCCGAAAAGACGTCCAGTTCACCGGACCTGGATGGACCGACAGGGAACTGGGACCATTTTCGTCCCACATTCCGGCTTCAGGCGTTCTACAAATCGGAACACTGACGCGGTAGCCTCACCGGTTAAAACAGTGGAATGCCAGAGGGTGACCGCGTAACCAAAGCCACATGGAGCGCAGACTCAGAACTTAGTCCCGGATGCCGGCCAGTGGCGGCGGAAGGTAATTTTGGATGGGGGTGCAAAGTTTTCCCAAGGGGCCCCTCTGGAAGTTTTGGGCCCCCTCCAGTGTTTTTTTTTTTTTTTGAGTGATAATTATTGATTCATGAAAAATGAAGATTTTGGAAAACTATCCCCATACACACAAGTTCTGTAAAAGTTTGAAATTGCAGTGTACCTACCTATCTCAAATAATGAAAAAAGAAGTAAATGCAGCTAGTTTTTTATCGGCTAATCTTTTAGTCTAGCCACCACCCGCAGCGTCTCAAACCACCTTTCTGGATCCGCAGTGGACCATTGAGTGCCCTACGAGACCGTTCCAAGAAGACCGTGTTTAGATGCCCCTTGGAAACCGACCACATAGAGACTCCTCCAAAGACCTACATGACTCCCCAGACTGAATGAGCCCTCCGATCACAGTCGGTCCCTTGAAAGTTGCTGAAAGGTTTCAGAAGACAGTATAGGCTCGTCTTTTTGTCTTTTGTCTTTTGAGGGCTCTCAGAAACCGGCATCGGACCCAAAAAAGTCTGTATGGAGGCCCTCCAAAGCCGGGGTGGAGGCCACAGGAGCCGATATTTAGCCTAAAGAGCCGGTATGGAGGACTGAGTAGAGGAAAGGGGTCTCAGTGGGGCCTTCGGGGGCAAACTTTTGAGCCCCAAAAGTATGTGTGGGGTCTTAGAGGCAGGTAGACCCCTCGAGTATGCACGGGGTCCCAGGAGCTCGCGTGTGAGCCCAAATATTCGGCTGGCGGCTACTAGAATGGGCATGGGGATTCTTAGAAGCCGCTTAGACCCACATTTCACGGGTCATGAGTCCCAAGAGTCGATGTAGGGGCCATAAAAGCCGGTGTAGGGCCCATGGCCCTATAAGTTCCGACATTGAGACTCTCAGAGGCCGGCGACGGGGCACCAAGAGCAGATAAAGTGCCTCAACAAGCCGACATGGGGCCTGAGAATCAGTGTGGAATTCCAGGAGCCTGCGTGGGCTCTCGGAGACCTTCGTATTTCGTAAGGTCCACAAAGGTCGTTGGATCCTCTGAATCTGAACTTTGTGGGGCCCTCAGAGGCCAGCATGTCTCCTGGCACCTGCCTGCGTTGAGTTGAGACCCTCCGAGGCCGTCGTAGGGTTCTTCAGAGGCCAGCGTTGGCCCTTGAAGCCTTCGTTAGGCCCTAGAAGCCTCAAGAGGGCCCTCAGAGGTCAGCATGGCCCTGGAGCCTGCCTGCGTCGAGGCCCTCAGAGGCCGTCGTGGGGCCCTCAGACGCCAGCGTGGGCCTTCGGAGCTTGCGTTGGGTCTTAGAGACCATCGTGAGGGCCCAGAGAGGTCGTCGTCAGGGCTCTCAGCCCCTCAGGGACCGTCCTGGGGTCCTCAGAAGTTGTTGTGAAGCCTTCGAGAGGATCATCAGAGGTCGTCATGAGGGTCCTTGACCATAGTGAGGGTCTTCATGGGCCCTCAGATACCTTTGCAGGGCTCTCAGAGGCCTTGGTAAGACCGCTAGAGGCCATCGTTGTTAGGGCCCTCAATAGACCGTTATAGGGCCCTCAGATGCCAGCATAGCCCCTGCAACCTGGCTGTGTTGGGGCCCTCAGAGGCCGTCGCTGGGCCATCTGAAGCCAAATGGGCCCTCAGACTTGAGTTGGGTCTAGGGCCGTCACGAGGGCCCTCAGATACCGTCGTAGAGACCCTCAGAGGCCAGTGGGGCCCCTGGAGTCCTGTGGGACCCTCAGCAGTCGTCATGAGGGCCCTAAGTGGCCGTTGTAGGGCCCCAGGGGACAGAGGTCGTCGTGGGAGCCCTCAGAGATCGTCATAAAAGGGCTCTCTGAGGCCGTCGTGGGGGCCCTCAGATGCCGCGTGGAGCACCAAACGCGGCTCGGGACACTTCTAGGCCGGTGTGGGGGCCCCAAAGACTAGCATGGGGCGCTCCTGACCATAATTGGACATCCCGGATGATTCTACATCAGTGTTCGTTTCCCGATCACTGGTTGTCAGGAGAAAATATATTGGATGGTGCGATGGGCCCCTTGTACGAATTTAGGGGGTGCAAAAAGATATGTTTGCACCCCCATGTTCTTTGATGGGGGTG